AAAGAACATCTCTCCTTTAATAAAAACCATTGAGCGCTTAAAAAATAGCCTTTAAGCAACGATTCTAATTTTATTTCACTTCCATATGCATATTTTGTGGAACATGTTCAGCATTTTTAAAAATGATGTTGCTTAACCGCATTTCAAAACATTTTTTCGGAAAGTTCAAGTTGAAGTTAAGTTGTATAAAAATTAAAGAAAATTCGTAAGTAATGCAAAGTCTCTTTAAATTAGGAACTTATTCCTTATATATTTTTAGGCAAGTTCCAGATAGAGGGCAATGTATTGATGCAGGAAGCTTAAATGTTCCCGAGGAACATACCAAATCAAATTTTCTTTTATTGCACATTTTATTTTTAATATTAAATGCAATACAAATTGGTCTGTTCCCGTACTGCACTAATCTACTAGTTTTTACTACGATAACAAATGTTCCTTTATGATATCGAAAAAAATAGTAAAAACTCGTAGATTCTTGCAGTACGGGAACATACCAATAATTGTGTTCGTCCTTTCTTTGTTGTTGTAGCAGTTTATAGGAATTGTATATTTCCTGTTTACATCCTGGACCTAGTCATCAATCCGTGCCCAATACGAATTGAGCCGACTGCACCATCCAGAACGTAACTGGGCCAAAACTACTCTGGTTTGTCTGGGCAGCTGACGTTCTTCAGCTGCTATGGGTGGGGGTGAGCTCCGAGGACGGCATTCACTTTGTAACCGTTCAGCGCTGCGGCTACTGCATCTGTATAAATGTCATTCAGATAGGCAACTTGATCTAGAGGCTCCCTTTTGTATCGTTGGACCTCTCTCTAGATCATGCAGATCCTTCCTGACACGCCTGGGTGGGGCAGTCCTATCCACCATATGATGGTTGGGATGATCGTCCCTGAAACACCCGAGCAGGTGCTGCAACGAAAGCATATGGTCCACTGATGTCATGAGGAGGCACCCTGTCGCTGTCCTCAGGGCGGCATTCTGACAGGTCTGAATACTTCTCTATTGCGTATCACTGGAATTCGCAGACCACACTGGAAACGCATAGCTAGCCACAGACCGACCTATCGCTTTGTAAGAGGTCAACAAGGTTTCCTTATCTGCACTCCAAGTGCTGCCGGCAAGCGACTTGAGGACCTTGTTCCTACTTTTCAACTAATCGCAGATAGCTGTGGTTTGCGCGGACGATTTGAACATGCTGTCGAATGTGACCCCGAGTATTTTGGGGTAGTTGGTGGTCGGAATTGTATGCCCCTCGACCTGCACATTCAACGGCATTCTCATCTCCGCAGTCCATGTGGTGAATAGTGTGGCTGACGACTTCGAGGCGGATATTTTCATATTCCTCGCTTTGAAGAATGCTTCTAAATCGATGAGATAGGCGTTCAACCTCACACAAATGTCTTCAACAATGGGACCCGACGCCATAATCGTACAATCATCTGCATATGTAACGATTTCTATGCCGTCCGGAGGGCGTGGAATACCGGAAAGGTAGAGGTTCAACAGGGGAACTCCCTGTTTAACTCTACGGGGTTTGGACTTCTTGTTCCGGAACTCCAGGTACGACTGGCATCCACACATATAGTTGATTATCCAACGTTTCAAACTCGGCCGGAGGGAAGTGCTCTCAATGTCCTCAAACAACGTGGCATGGTTGGCAGTATAAAAGGCTTTTGATAGGTCAAGCGCTACAAACACTGTTCTATATGCGTGGAAATGGCGTGCAACGCTGCTGTTGTACTGTGTTGCTTACGGAACCCATGTTGATGATCCGCAACTAGATAGCTTTCTCTAATGCTGGGGAAGAGTAAAGCCTCAAGGGTCTTCGCTACTGGCGACAAAAGTAAAATCGGCCTGAAGTATTCACCTTTGCTGGCATCCTTGCCCGGCTTCAGTAGCGGGACCACCCTGCCCATAGCCCAGGCTTCGGGGACGACGTGGGTGGCTATCGAAAAGTTGAGGACGTTGGTCAAGTACTCGACTCCTGGCTCATCAGCATACACATAGATATTCCATCAGGGCCCAACGCTTTAGATGACTTCGCGTTACAGATGACACATGCAACATCACCCAACGTAATATATCGGGTCAGTCCGGTATCGTAGAACCCGCCGCCGTGGGATTGGTCCTTTGTTTGTTGTTTATTTTGGCGCAAATAAAATGTTTTCTTGAATCAGCTATTATTTGCTAAATCTTACTAAATGTTGTCTGTTTACTTTTTTCAGTATTATCGCAAAAGAGAGTAAAAATTGCTCCAAAATTGAGTCTTATCTCTGGTATTCGACCAGCAGGTATAAATCTAGCAGCTGCAGCTGTGATGATGCCTCGGAATTTCCTTTCTGCTACCTGTACATCAGAAGGAATGGAAAGTTCTCTGAAGAGCTGGTTGGTGAACTCTCTGAATCCTTGTCAGTTGGCTTTCCTATAGTTAAGGAAAGTGCGGCGTTCAGAGATCACGAAATCGGGCGTTCTGCTGATGGAGACAATTATGGGGAGATGGTCTGAGCCAAGAGAAATGACGGGCTGCCAGCTGACGTCATTTATCAGACCTGGTGACACAATGGTTATATCTGGCAATGAAGGGTTGTCAAAATAAAAAAATTTTGGTCATATGCAATGGTAAATAATAAAAGGTAACAGCAAAACCCAGCTGATTTGATTCCAATATGAATATGACAAATTATATTTTTAAAAATCACCCAACAGGAAAATTGGAACGCATACAATTCTAAATTGTTCTTTATTAAATGTCCTGCGGTATTCAATTTACTCAATCTGCCTGCTGGGAAAGTTTAAGGAAGCAAATCTTTTTTTCATGGAATAACTCGAAATTCCCAGCATTTTCATATATGTTACACATACAAGTGGCAATGTATCAATTATAGGAAAGATATGGAAGCAATAGAAATATACATTTGATAGATTTTCATTCATGTTATTCAATTTTATTTTGATGATTCGAAAATATTACATTTTCAAAATAAATATAATTTGTTTGTTTACATTTTTCTGTCAAATGGCGTTGACACTAATATAACTTACAAAAACAAATTTCTATGTGGTTGTTGTATCGTTTGTTGTATAACAACACTTGCTATTACCTTCTATTATTATACCATAGTCATATGTGACCATGAGGTTACCTTATTTGCTGTATCATGGAATGGACATTTTACATTTACAAAAACAGTAATGTGATGTATCAAAACAAAACCCTTTGTTTTCGTTTCGACCATCTGTCAAATTTGTCCTTTAATATTTATTACGGTTAGCAACATAACACACCGAACTCAAGTGGAAATTAGGCACTTTGACAGTTAATCGAGTCATCAGCTGCACTAAATGGACTACCTGTTTGTTGTGCCATGGTCAATTCCAATATGCTCTGTTTTCGTATGTAAACATAAGGGAATTAGCCGTTTGAAAGAAACACATTGTTGGAAGAAAATATATGTAAAGGCAAAACAATTAAAATTTGTAATTTCGTTTATAGGTTTTTAATAAGAAAAATTATGTTGATTTAAAAATAAAATAAAGGTTTTGTTTTGTTTATAGGTTATGTCATAAGTGTACACTGCTAATTTTGACACACAAGGAATTCCATATGGATGAAAAAAGTGACAGCACATATGTAAAATACATATTGTGTAAAAGCACCATTAAAAAGATATGACAATACACAAGATCTATAAATAAGGTCACCCAGGTAGCAAACGAAACCGGCAAACAGCTGTTTTTTCTCAAGTGTAATGTCAAAAATTTGGACTTTGTTTCCGTTTTCATAATGTAAGTCAATTCACAATAACGCATTTTGACAGCAAACTTGAATGGCGCAGATATCCAGCTGGTCTCCCTAGGTGACCTTATATATAGGCCATCAAAATACATATGTAATTTTTCGAATAGGAACCGCTCTATTTCTATATGTCTTTTCATATGCAAACTAAATAGATCAGCTGATTGTTTGGTAAATGAAAATACATTTCTGATAGAATATAACACGAGGGAAGTAATACAAATTTTGACATACATTAAATATTTCGTATGTACAGAACAAGATCTATTAATCCTATCAGTGTCAAAAAAATTTGTCGGAATAAAAATTTAAAATTTTGTATTTAAGATCATATAAAGGCACAGAGTTTAGAAAAAATAGCAATGTTCTTTTTAACCCTCGGCCAGGTTCGTCTGTCTTTCAGCAAAAACAAAAACATCAATAGGATAACCGAAAAATCGAAAGAGAGTACTTTTAAATGTCGAATATATTCGGCAAAAGCATTGAAAGGGTTAATAAGATCATCCAACTAGCGAAAGTCGGCTGTTTTTTCTCAAGTCTAATTGTGTACGTTTTCATAACGGAAGTCAATTCACAATAACGAATTTTGACTTGATTACCTTATTAAGACCTTGGTACAGAAAAACTGGAAGCACATATGACATTTCGTGTAACAGCACCTTAAGGCCCCTTGAATGTCAAAGTAGTTTATAGAATAAACAAAAACAAATTCTGTATTCCTAAACGTGGTTTTACATTTATCGGGATCGGTGTTGAGAGTTTCTCTCTCTCAGTGGTACATTGTGAATTGTGTTGGAAAACATTACCTCAGGTAGGAACAAAAAAGTACGAAATCCTACTTCAAATGGTAATAAATCATAATTATCGAAAAATATTGGCCAATATTTGCATAAATAATATATGTTATAATTTAAGAGTAAATGTATTCACGAATAATGAAAAAATCTAATTTTTGTTTTGGTACGTTTATGTCAATTCGTACCTTTTGTGAACAAAAAGTGCGCTTGTTACAATTAAAAATAGCTCAACTCTAATTACTCTCTCAAGAGAGGGAAACTCTCAACACCGATCCCGATCCCGATAAATGTAAAACCAAGCTAAACATATAATATTCTGATTTTTTGTGTAGAAATTTTAAAGTGGGTTCCTAGTATGACAGTAAAATAACACCACGGTCTGGAAGCACATATAAAGGGATTTGAAAATGCCAAAGGTTGTATCACGGAGTATAGTATGTTCTGATTCTAAAGATCAGGAAGAATATAATGACGATTCACCATTAAATATATATTACTGCTTGTGCGGGAAACTCTCACTAATATTAGGTATGTATATTTTTCGTATATAAAAGCATCACGAATTATACGAATTATTTTATAAATTCCATAATGATAGAAGAGAGATGGAAACAATTTTATAAAACGAATTGGCTTAAGTTGAATTTAGGGGCTCATCTCCGATTTTTCTGAATTTTTCGCCACAGGAAGATCGTCTAACTAATGACGAAAATATATGACATTCATGGGGGAATCCATATTTCCCGAGATATGGACCTCTGAAGTTCCGGAATTCATATGCTTATAACTTCGACATGTATGACCGATTATGGTAATATTGGCGGATATTTAGAGAAGCATGTTAAAATTTCGATCGCATAGCCGAAATTTCCATCTATCCATAGGAGAAAGTCATAAAACGCCGGCCGAAGGCCCATTATTTTAAAAAGAAATTAGTTGAAAAAAATGTTGATGCGTTAGCCGAATTTTCCGCCTGTCCATAGGAGAAAGTCTTAAATCCTCTGTCGAAGCTATTTTGTATAATTTTTCATTAAGACGAATTTAAGTTAAAATATAAAGTGTACGCTTTACAAACATGCCAATACTTCATCGATCCATAAATAACAAATTATGAGCATAGGAATTTCGGAACTTCAGAGGTCCATATCTCGGCAATTATAGAATTTCCCCATAAAATTCATATATTTTCATGATCAGGGAGACGAGACCGACCTGTGGCAAAAACCCGAAATGAGCGCTCCTAAACTCAACTTTTTCCAACGAATCATCGTGACTACTTCCTTGACATAATTATAGGTCGATATTTTTATGAACTGGTAAGGTAGATAAGTTTCATTTTTCTTTAGTCCTTTAACATCTAATCATTTTTGCCGAGGCCGTTTAATTTAACATGGACCGTGCTTCCACATTTGCATAGCATCTTACAATATACAAACTTGTTCATTACAGATTGTTCTCTGGAAAAATTGCCATTAAGACGAACAGATGGTGCGAGGGTTATAAATGGAAAACAACATGCCCATAAACTCACTTATCAAGAAGGTGGAATTGAATACATAAAAAGGAAAGAGAAGGGAATTGAAAAACAGTATCGTTTCAATGTAAGAATAATTCAATATTTTGATTGTTCCTTATTCTCCTTTTTACCCACTTAAAGCAACATTTAAAAAATGAAAACTAAATTTAGAATTTAAAAAATATCAGACTATTTTGTGTTAAAAGAAGAAAAAGAGTAGATATTGATGTATATAAGGTATTATATTTTATTTCCTTTCAGTGTAAGTCTTGTAAACTTCCCTTATATTATCGACATCAACCAAATTCCGAGAACACCTTCATTTTTCACCATGCCCTTGTAAAAACAAAAAATGATATACACTTGAATTTGGAACCAACTTCAACAAAAAATACCTCTATTGGTGAATCAGAAAAAGTAATGGTAACTAGACACACAAAGAATATGGGTAAATTCAGTTCCGTTACGGTATCGACCATAGATGAAGAGGAAGATGAGATTGAAGCGGTACGCGTTCTTATAAAAATAAAAGTATCCGGTGCTTATTTGCGTATTAACTTTTTCTTACAGCGTGAAATTGCTGACAGCTATGCCAATAATGCCCGAATTATAGAAAAACAGCTTCAACGAAAGGGTGGCAAACTTGCCGACACAGGTTCAAGGAATAAACAAGATGATCCCGTTCCGTCCAAAAAGCCAAGGGGAACACTATTAGACATATAATAAAAATATATTTTGAAACTTGCAAATATTCTCAGAACAGATTTTTATTAATTTTTGGTATTTTGCCCAATATTAGGAGAAGATAACATTTTAATAGTTTCCACAATATTTAATAATTTTGTTTTACACGCTGTATTATATATTCACCTGTATAGTCTACCTACCCGTATTCATAATTTGACAAGAATGACAGAACAGGGGACAAATTATGACAGCCGATCGATGTTAATTAATTTGGGTTGACCCCATTCGAAGTCGAATACATTTCGTCGAAATGTCCGATAAACACCTAAAATAGGTGTCGAAAACAGAAAACAATTCAACAATAATACGAGCAAGAAGAGGGTCAAAGCCGGAATGGACTGAATATATAACACAATAAACCACTTTGGATGTATTCAAAGAGGTTATATCCCATAGTCCAAAGGCCTTATCACTCTTAGTCCAAAGGTGTCAGATAAGGCAGAGTTTTTTTTTTCAATTCACACGAGGAGGACTGAAAAATGGTACTATTTGTATTGGGAGAACCGGTGAAGCTAGAATTCTGAAATGTGGATTGAGGGTCATTGATGGAATGTACCAAAGGTTTTGGAAATTCGAATTATAAGTATCCGAAAAGTACTAAATTTGTCACAATTTCGTAGCATGTGAACAGATAGAGCTAAAAACTTGATATTTGGATATTTGAAAGTGTTAAATTCAATTATAACATTACATCACAGCAAGGTATATAAACAAATAATTAAGTAAATCAGATATTCAAGAAAAATCCATGCAAATTATTATTATTTATTGGAGACACTGAATGTCTTGAGACCCTGTGGAATACTCGAGCGACAGGAGAATCAAATAACCCAAAACACTTTATTGAGATTACAACATCTATAGAGATACTATAGATGGAAACATTTATTAACTTGGTTTTTGCCAAAATCATACGGGTATGTTCTGGAATTCAAGGTGTGTTCTTTTCACTTCACACATACACTTCACCCTAGAAGTTACCTCCTGTTCTGAATTGAAATTTTCGAACTACGACAAAAATAAACGCCGACATGGTACTTTGCAGAAAGTGTTGCCATACAATATAAACTGTATTCGTTTTTAACATTGTTTCTGTTATTTTTTAGTAATTCCGTAAATTCTAACAATAATTTTATTATCATTTTTTAATATTTTATTATTCGCAACATAAAATTTAAGGGGAACATTTGGTAAACCCATCTTGTACATTCTTATTGCAAATCAGCTGTTTGTGTCAAGCGAGATTAATTTGGAATAAATGCAACACAATCTATTTAAAGTTGGTTTTAAATGCAATTTATCATAATTTTGTGATTTCAAACAAATTATACGCAATTATAACATATTAATCGGCTTAACTCTAGTTTAGTAAAACCGATCGGGTACGGGTACCCGGTTATATCCGGTTCTACGGATCCGGTTAATATAATATGGGTATCATTTTAAAGGTTATAAAAATCATCTTTTGATCCACAACAGATACAGCCACACATCGCACCATTTTGGAAAGGGCAAGTTGTGGTCTAACATTTGAGTCTGGGCTGGAGGTGGACTATAATGGACCCAAGTTCGACTTTTAGGGAGTTTTTCAAAATAATCGGGGACCAAAACCCAGTTTTTTGACTATATCTCCAAAATGGTTTGAGATAACTTCAACAAAAAATACCTCTATTGGTGAATCAGAAAAAGTAATGGTAACTAGACACACAAAGAATATGGGTAAATTCAGTTCCGTTACGGTATCGACCATAGATGAAGAGGAAGATGAGATTGAAGCGGTACGTGTTCTTATAAAAATAAAAGTATCCGGTGCTTATTTGCGTATTAACTTTTTCTTACAGCGTGAAATTGCTGACAGCTATGCCAATAATGCCCGAATTATAGAAAAACAGCTTCAACGAAAGGGTGGCAAACTTGCCGACACAGGTGCAAGGAATAAACAAGATGATCCCGTTCCGTCCAAAAAGCCAAGGGGAACACTATTAGACATATGATAAAAATATATTTTGAAACTTGCAAATATTCTCAGAACAGATTTTTATTAATTTTTGGTATTTTGCCCAATATTAGGAGAAGATAACATTTTAATAGTTTCCACAATATTTAATAATTTTGTTTTACACGCTGTATTATATATTCACCTGTATAGTCTACCTACCCGTATTCATAATTTGACAAGAATGACAGAACAGGGTACAAATTATGACAGCCGATCGATGTTAATTAATTTGGGTTGACCCCATTCGAAGTCGAATACATTTCGTCGAAATGTCCGATAAACTGTTATGTCCTCACATGTGCGCTCATTTGGGTCTGGGATAGCTCTTCGGACTCAGGGGAGGTTCTCAACCCATCCAAATAAGCCTCAAGCATAACATCAAAATTTTTTCAGGAACATTCAACACTTTACTCTACATGGATTTATCTAAAAACACACACAATTACCAACACGGAGAACATCCTTATGAGAATTCAGAGTCCTTGGTGTACGGACCCTTCACTCACCCACCCATCCTTGGTCCATGATTTTCCTTCAATTTTTCCCCATGGACCCCATTTGCTCCAACCTACCCCCACATCCCTTTTACCACCGCCAATTTCCTCCCTATTAATTTAATTTACTCCATATTCATTTTTTCCCTTTATAACATTAAAATCCAAGTCATTTTTATTATATGAAAATATCTATCTAAAGTATCAAAAAATATCATTAAAAGTTCGACATAATCATAATTGAAGAACAAAAACAAAAAAAACATTAACTAGAACCTACAAAGACTTAGTATAGGGTCATGGTCTTCAAATACGACCTATATTTACTTGACACGAAGTTCCTACCTAAGTGAGCTCAATTAAGTGGAATATTGGCCTTTAAGTTAAGGCTACTTTCAGATATAACCCCTAACCTCTCTTTGCAAGGATCTTTACACGTTGAGTTTAACACAAAAATTATATTAAAGAAAATTAAATTACATAAAGTCAACACAAAAAAAATATATAAAATTCTAAAAACACTAATCCTAAATTCTTATGCTAAAAATGGTCAAAAAATTAGTGATATGAAATTATTATTGATCTTTTGCTGCTAATATGTAAAAATTTGGGGTTTTTTGATGATTAAACGTAGCGCCTAAAAGCGACTATACTTTGCAGGTTTTGGGACGATTTTTGTCTTTATGGCAGTTTGATGTGGTATAACTATTTGTATAACACTGGCACTTAGCATATACCAGTTTAGCAAAGTTTCTCCAACCAAATGGTTAATGTCGCCACTTTGGGTTACCAGCTGATAATTTTAGCACTGTTACCACAAAAGACCGGGTGACTCCCATTAGTTAAATCTAAAATTGGTCGGATTTTTCCTAGTGGCCACAATCCCAGATGAAGTCAAATTCTTCAGCGCTCAATTCGGTTTTTGCGCATAAAATATGGATTGCTTACCACTTCAGTTCATACAAACTCTTCTCCTGATGTTATACCTTCATCCAGGTGCTCGACAATTTATCCTGTTGTGGATTCAATAGATACCGTGGTTTGGCGAAGTTTCCTATTTAAGGGAAATACACAATTTTTTATTAATTCTACTTCGCCAGAACCTAGCATTTATGATGCTTTCTATTAGGCAACAAATCCACTTACTTTTTAATTTTTAACTTCACTTGTTTTTAGTCAAAAGAAAATTTGTCTCTTCACAATATCATATCTGGTTAACTTTTACTTGTTAGTTTTTCTTTGTCATCCACACCTGAACGATAATATTGCCAAACTGGATGATTTCCCATGAATCTCCCTTTTTATACTCGGGCCATTTTCTTCCAAAAATTTCTTTTTATATTTACTAATTTATCATATAGAATTCTCTCTTTTTTTCAAATGCCCTTGTTGTTTTATTTCCTTACGGTTATTTTACATATTGGCTTCGGAGATGGCAACCTTGAATGGATGGCACCTCCTTGTACAATTTAGTACCGTGTGATCTCACATTATTACTTTTGACATTTCATTTGCTGTCAACTCACCGGTACTAAGTCAACCTATCAGAAGCCATCAAAACGATCAAACGCATTCTTTTTTTTTGGGAATATTATTCCTTGTGCTTTTAAATTTATTGTGCTGAAAAAAACTGAAAAAAAAAACAGAATCATTGCCGTATGTTGGCTTGGCATTTGCCCAACACTACCAACATCTCAGCTAGTGAACCATACACGCATTCCAATGAACAAAAATCTGCCTGAAAGAGCTTGTGCTGTGAGTGTGTGTGTAAGTGGCTGCCTGTTTGTTTTGATTATCGCTATTCGCAGCTTGATCATTCACAATAGCACCACTGGTAAGTACACCAATAACTTTAGTATTTTATGAACATATAAAATTACAATTCATCCCTTCTATTTCAGGTGATTACATTGGCCAAAGGGTAATGTCATTGTTTTGGCAATAACCTACCGAATGCTTTTTTATAGTGTCTTGCGACCGACAGATCGTCATGGAATACCATAGGGTACTCACATTGGCATGACAGTCGTTTGGTGCTCTATTGATTATAGTTAAACCTCCCGCAACAAAACTCCGGAGATTGCGAACCTGTGATGCCATCTACGGTGTGCGGAGGTGTATTTATTAGAAACACTGTATTATTGGTCTCTTCTACTACGATGTGAGGCCCAACGTGGGGAACTCCCACACCCTGATTCGTATATAGCCGGGCATATCAAATTTGGGTAAGTCTTTAGTGGAGTCTATCTATCTGAGTATTTTGTATTGTTGTTTTATTATTGTAGGTATCTCCTGTTGCGTATAAATATGTGGACCAGTGATATAAAGCCCGTTTAGGGTTAATCAGCAGGACTTCGAGGGATATTCGAAATGATGGTAAGTTTCGTTTTGGTTTTTTCTTTTGGTATATATATCGACTTGTTTTAAATACATACATATAGGCAATTTCCACCCCAATTAATACATAGTTAACTATGTGAGAACATTTCACATAATTATCTATAAATTAATTAGATAAGTCAATATTTAAATGAATATTTGAATAATTAATTACTTAAATAATTAAAAAATTATAATTAGCTAAATAATCAATTAAATAAATCATCAATTAAATAAATATTTATCCTATATTGCACGTACTTCCCTATTTTATTATCACAGTCATGTCGATTTCTATATCACAGTCTGGTATTATCTCTTGAGGTCCTTGGCGTGAGCTACACCCAACGGCCGGCCTTGAAGGTCCTCAAGCTCGTACATATTGTTACCAATTAGTTTGGATATTCGGCACTTTATAAATTTCCGTGCGAACTTAGCGTTAAAATTTTTCTGGAAATCGCTTAGCTGGTAGTTGCGACGAAATACTTCCTGACCAGGAGCAAATTTCGTTACCCGAACCCTCTGATTGTACCTTTTGGCACTCATTTCATAAGCCTTGTGCATATTTTGCTTAATCTTTTCCCTAATGAGTTGTAATCGGTCACTTGAATGCAAATTTAAGATTTCATGCTCAGACAATGACTTTAATTTCCTGGCTAAATTGTAGTCTGTCCCCTTTGTGTACATATGGTAGCCGAATAAGGCGAAAAAAGGCGTTACTCCAGTTGCCGAATGGACGGAGGTACGCAAGGCGCATTCTATTTCCGATAAATAGAGGTCCCAATCTCTATGGTCATTTTCCATGTACGCTCTTATGGCCGCCAGAACGGACTGGTTTACCCTTTCCGAGGCGTTGGATTGGGGTGAATAAGGAGCAGTTTGCATGTGTTTAATTTTATACGTGGCAATCAAGTCTTGGAATTGCTTTGAGGTAAACTGAGCCCCGTTATCACTATGTATTATCTCGGGTACTCCAAACTTCCTAAAAATTTCTTCTACGAGGAATTTTACAACATTACTGGCGGTGGCCTCCTTCATAGTTTTCAGAAAAACGAATTTTGAAAAGTGGTCAACCACGATAAAAACATACGCATTCCCACTCTTTGATCTTGGATATTTGCCCAAAAAATCAATATACAACTTTTGGAATGGGCGATCAGTTTTCACCTCATTTCCAATTGTTGTTTGTGTATTATAATTCGCATTTTTGCTTTCTTTACACGTAGTGCACCTTCCCACGTACTGCCGTATCTGGGAAGTCATGTTGGGCCAGTAAAATTGTTGTCTCAGCCGGTTCAATGTCTTTGACATTCCACCGTGAGCAGCTGTAGGAGAGTCATGAGCTTGTTGTATAAGGCGATGTGTCAAGGATTCCGGCACCCACAGTCTCCATTCATATTCGCTACAAAACTCAAAATTATTTGGGATTATCTTTTTGAACACCTTTCCATCTATGATTTTTAAATCTGGTAGCCTCTCCTTGTTTTCTTCTATTGTCCTTTTAAGATCCTCATATTCCTCAGTTTGGAATTCATTGGCGTCGATATCAAGTCCCAGGTCCATATCGATTTCTTCAATGGTGGGAAGTCTCGATAAGGCATCGGCAACAACATTGTCTTTTCCCTTTCGATGCTCTATTTCGAACCGGTAATGTTGCAACTGAAGTGACCAACGGGCGAGACGTCCACTCAAGTCCTTCAAACTCATTAGCCATTGTAGGCTAGCATGATCTGTTATGACCGTAAAATCCATAAGTTCCACATATGGGCGGAATTTTTTTACGGCCATAACAGCCGCTAGACACTCTTTCTCCGTGACACTATAATTTTTTTGGCTTGAATTCAGTTTCTGTGAAAAGTAGGCTATTGGATGTTCCTCACCATTGTCACTTAGTTGGAACAAAACCGCACCAATGCCATACTCAGAGGCGTCACACTGTATGTAAAATTTTCGACGAAAATCAGCGTGTCGTAGCACTGGTGCTGAGGTTAAAGCTTTCTTTAAGCTATCAAATGAAATAATGGCTTCTGGTGTCATATTAAATTTTTTGCTCTTTTTTAAAGTATCAGTCAGCGGTGCGGATATGGTAGCGAAATCTCGAATAAATCGGCGGTACCATCCT